AGCTTTGCTGGTTAAGAGATTATAAGTGGCTAATGGTGTTTCATGTTTTGATTAATATCTTACATAATTGTTACTTTCTTTTGTTTCTGAATTTGCTGCTCCCCTCCCCAAATTACTCTTAATTTCCAGCTTCTCAGAAGATGGGAACAACCTTTATTCACTTGCTGTTCTTATTCTTCACTAGAACGTGGTATCTCAGGACCAAAAATTATTCTATCTGCTACTGCTTCGAGAAGAACTAGCGGCTTGGTTGTTGCAGAAGCTGGAAATCTGAATAGAAGGTCAGTTGTAATTTCCGGCGTTTCATTGGCTTTGGCATTTCCAGGCGAAGGAATTGCTGCTGTCAAACAAGGCCTTCTTGCTGGTAGAATTCCTGGTTTGTCTGAACCTGATGAACAAGGTTCCTATTTCCTCTCTCTCTCTCTCTCTCTCAGTCACTCGTTATACTCGATGATAAGTGTTTTGATTATTTGGAAAAAAATATATATATATGCTCAGACAGGTTGGAGGACTTACCGCAGACCAGATGAGAAATCTGGAGGGCATGGTGTCGGATGGAGTCCAATCATCCCTTATAGCTTTTCAGTGCCTCAACAATGGGAGGAGGTACGATTAATTCATCGAACATTTGCTGGGCATTACTTTGATCAATTTGGGTTAATTTTGTTTATGTATCCACAATAGGTGCCTGTATCAATTGCTGATCTAGGTGGTACAGAGATTGATTTAAGATTTGCTAGTCCAAATCAAGGGCGATTGTTCGTCATTGTTGCTCCTGTTCTCCGATTTGCAGATGGTAACTTTTTCTTTCTGTTTTGTATAAACTTCCAGTAATTTGACACTCTCTGCACCTCATCTCTCACACCGGGTCTGTCGCACACATATATATCTATCTCTCTTGCGGCTTTTGTTGTTTGATCGTTTTAGTCTTTGCTGAATAACGCAAATGGGTTCCAGAAGAAGAATTGATCTTCAACTAAGTGCAACTCCTCGCACCCCATGGATGTGCAGCAATCACATGACCCTTTTGTTTTTGCCTTTTGCATGCCAATTTCATTATGGACCTCCTCCCTTCTTCTTAGCCAGCCAATTCATTTTTCATAAACTCTTCAGGACCTTTAGAGACGAAGAACTCTGCAATTTCTTGACTTCCCAAATGTTACCTTTGGTCTTTACTACTTTCTCATCCTTAAATTGCAAATCATTTTCCATCATTGTACACACCAATGTTGCCTCCACTCATGTGATCAGTAAGACCGGTTCCGGATATAATAATGGCATATCAGCATCTTTTCTTGGATGGCTGAAAACACAAAAGATACTTAGACGGTAGTAGCAGCAAGTTTGGAGAATCGAGTGACTGCTCCATCTGTTTGGATCAATGATTGAATTGGGTGACTGGTCCATCTGTCTGGATCAATTATTGTGTGCTAAGGAGCTCATTGACATGTCATGCCATCATGTGTTTCATGAAGCCCGCATTGTTCATTGGTTGGAGAACAACAACACTTGCTCTCTATGCCGCCAAGTCCGGTGCTGATACACAACTTCTCCTTGCATGCATGGTTTAGTAATTAAAAGCACCAAGGTGCAGAAAACCATATAATTTCCAACAACTTAAAAAAGGGTTTTAGGTAGAAGATACACTCAAAATCATGTAAAAGCAACATCTTTTGTCAATATATAACATTCTTCTACAAGATATCTCTTTTTATTCATCAAGAAATAACAGAGAGCTGTTAATTGATGAAATTTCTAGTTCTGCTTTTTATGTTTATATCGGCTGCAAGCAACCTTCTATTGTATAATGTTTGCAACTGAGAAATTAACGATGAAATTATTATCCAATACTAGATTCTTTTCATTATCATCATCTTCTAGAGACTCGCATATAACTTGAAAATTTAAATTAGGCTTACATTTCAATTTCAGCTACGTCTTTGTGTTAAGTAATATATATAACCTACATTCTGGATGATAATCTAATCCAATAATGATATTCATTGAGTCTCATGGTTGTATCATACATATTTTACAGATCTTGGTGGAGATGCTACTATTGAAAAGATTGGACCGCCAGAGAAGGTAATTAATGCATTTGGACCTGAAGTCATAGGTGAAAATGTAGAAGGCAAGGTGTTGAGTGTTAATGTAGCAGAGCACTCTGGCAGGACATACTATCAGTATGAGTTGGAGCCGCCTCATGTACTGATTACTGCAACTGCAGCCGGAAATCGCCTTTATTTGTTTGCAGTGACTGGAAGTGGTAAGGATGCTTTTCTACTTCAGAATGCTTGGTTAAGATACTACGAATCCCATCTCTAACTGCTATTAAAACTAATATGATCACTCTCCATTGAGGAAGAAAAGAACTCAACTGAAGAATTTTCTGAGTACATTGCAT